GGGGGGGGGGGTTTTAGGCCTTTTAAAATTTTTTTGGGGTTTTTGGGGGTTTTAAAAAAAAAAGGAAGGAACCCCAAAAAAAAGGGGGGGGGGAAAAAAAAAAATTTTTTAAAGAAAAAGGGGGTATTTTGGGGGGAAAAAGGACTTTTTGGGGGGGGGGAAAAAGGAGGGTTTTTGGGGGGGGGGCCAATTTCCCCCAAAAGGGGGGGGGGGGGGGAAAAAAAAAAAATTTTTTTTAAAAGTAAAAAAAAATTTAATTTTTGGGTGGAAAAAAAAATAAATTTTAAAAAATTTTTAAAAAAAAATTTTTTAAAATTTTTTAAAAAAGGTTTTAAAAAAAAAAAAAAAAAAAAAAAATTTTTTAAAAAAAAAAAAATTTAAAAATTTTTAAAAATTAAAAAAAAAAAAAATAAAAAAAAAAAAAATTTAAAAAAATATTTAAAAATTTTTAAAAAATTTTTTAATTTAAAAAAAAAATTTTAAAAAAATATTTTTTAAAAAAAAAAATTTTTTAAAACCCCAAAAAAACCCCAAAAAAATTTCCCCCGGGGGGGGGAAAAAAAAAATTTGGGGGCCCCCCCCGGGGGGGGGAAAAAAAAAAACCCCCAATTTTTTTTTTGGGGTTTAAAAAAATAAAAAAAAAATTTTTTTAAAAAAAAAAAAAAAAGGGGGGAAAACCCCCCCCCGGGGGAAAAAGGGGGGGGAAAATTTTCCCCGGGGGCCGGGGGTTTGGGAAAAAAAGGGGGGTTTTTTGGGGGGGGGGGGGGAAAAATTTTTTTGGGAAAGGGGGGGGGGGGTTTTTTCCCCAAAATTTTTTTCCCAAAGGGAAAAAAATTTTTTTGGGGGGGGTTTTTAAAATTTTTTTGGGCCCCCCGGGGGGAAAATTTTTTTGGGGGGGAAAAAAAAGGGGGGGGGGAAAAAAAAAAAAAAAAAAAAGGGGGGGGGGGGGGTTTTTTGGGGGGAGGGGGGCCCCCCCCCAAAAAAAAACCAGGTTAAAAAATTTTAAGTTTTTAAAAGGGGGGGGAAAGGTTTTTTTTTTTCCTTTGGGGGGGGTTTTTTTTCCCCAAATTTTTCGGGGTTTGGGGGGGGAAAGGGAAACCCCGGGGGTTTTGGGGGCCCCCCCAAAAAAAAAGGGGCCGTTTTGGGGAAAAAAAAAAGGGGGGGCCCCCAAAAGGGGGGTTTTGGGGGTTTTTCCCCGAGAAAAAACAAGGAATTTTTTTAAAGGGGGGGCCGGGGGGGGGAAACCCCCCCTTTTTTGGGGGGAAAAAAAAAAAATTTTTGGGAAGGGGGTTTTTTTTCCCCCAAAAAGGGGGGGGAAAAAAAATTAATTGTTTTTTGGGGGGGTGGGAAAAGGGGGGAAAAAAAATTTTTCCGGGCCCCCCCCAAAACCGGGGGGGGAAAGGCCCCCCAAAAAAAAATTCCCCCCTTTCAAGGGGGAAAAAAAATTTTTTTTTTAAGGGGGCCCCCCAAAAAGGGTTTTGGGGAAAATTTTTTTTTGGGCCCTTTTGTCAAAATTTTTTCCCCCCCTTTTTTTTTTTTAAATTTTTTCCAAAACCAACCCCCCAAAAAAAAAAAAAATTTTTTTTTTGGGGGAAAAATTAAAATTTTTTTAAAAAGGGGGGTTTTTTTAAAGGGGGGAAAGGAAAATTTTCCCCCTGCCCCTTTTTTTTTTTTTTTTGGGAAAAGGGGGTTTAAAAAAAATTTTTTGGGGTTTCCCCCCCCCGGGGGGGGGAAAAAAAAGGGGGGGGGGGTTTTGGGGGGGGGGAACCCTTTTTGGGGGGGAAAAATTTTTAAAAGGGCCCTTAAAGGGGGGGGGGAAAAATTTTTTTTTTGGGGGGGGGGGGGAACCCCCCAAAAAAAAGGGGGCAAAAAAAAACCCCCCCCCCCTTTTTTTCGGGGGGGTTTTTTTTTTGGGGGGGCAACCCCCCTTTGGGCCCAAAAAAAAAGGGGGGGGGGTTTTTTCAGGAGGGGCCCTTTTTAGGGGGCCCCCCCGGGGGGTTTTTCCCTTTTTTTGGGGGAAAAAAGGGAAAAAAAAAAAAGGAAAAAAAAAGGGGGGGGGGTTGGGGGAAAAAGGGGGGTTTTTTTTGGGGGCCCACCCCTTTCCCAAAGGGGGGGTTTTTTTTTGGGCCAAAAAAAAAATTTTCCCCCCAAAAAAATTGGGAAAAAAAAAAACCCCCCTTTTTTTTCCCCCCCCCCCCCCCCCAAACCCCTTTAAAGGGGCCCCCCGGGGTTTTCCCCCCCGGGCCCCCAAATCCCCCGGGGGGGAAATTTAAATTTAAAAAAATTTTAAAAAAAAAAAAAAAATTAAAATTTTTTCCCCCCCCTTTTAATTTTTAAAAAAAAAAAAAAAAAAAAAAAAAAAATTTTTAAAAAAAATAAAAAAAATTAAAAAAAAATAAAAAAATTTTAAAAAAAAAAACCCCCTTAAATTTTTCCCCCCAAACCCCCAAAAAAAACCCCCCCCCCCCCCCCCGGGGGGAAGGGAAAAAACCCCCCCCTTTTTTTTTAATTTTTAAAAAAAAAAAAAAGGGAAAAAAAAACCAAAAAAATTTTTTTTTTCCCCCCAAAAAAAAAAATTTTTTCCCCGGGGGGTTGGGGAAATTTTTAATTTTTTCTTGGGAAAAAAGGGGGGCCCCCGAAAAAAAATTTTTTTTTGGGGGGGGTTTTTTTTTTTTTTTTTGGGTTTTTTGGACCGGGGGCCCCCCCGGGGGACCCCAAAAAAAAAAAAATTTTTAAAATTTTTTAAAAAAAAATTTTTTTTTAAAAAATTTTTTTTAAAAAAAAATTTTTTTAAAACCCAAATTTTTTTTCCCCCTTTTTTTTCCCCAAAACCCAAGGGAAAAAGGGGGAATTTTTCCCTTAAGGGGTTTTTTGGGGGGGGGGGGGCCCTTTGGGGGGTTTTTTAAATTTTTTTTCCTTTTTAAAAAAACCCTTTTTTTAAACCCCAAAAATTTTTTCCCCCCGGGGTTTTTTTTTTTGGGGAAGGGGGGGAAAAAAAAGGGGGGAAAAAAAATTTTTTTAAAATTTTTTTTAAAATTTTTTATGGGAGGGTACAATGCCTGACTTTAAAAGGAGGGGTTTGGGATTTTTGGCAGTTTGGAAGGATATGTTGTTGTATCTTTATCGTATATGCTTCTAAACTTTTGGGTATTCTGAGCGCCTCTGCAAAAACAGTGATAATTTGTGGTGTGGTGAAAGTGTTGAATGATGATGAAAGTATTTTCTTTTTGGGGATTTTCTTTCTTTTTTGGATCACCCTGCCTCGGTGGAAGACGGCCGACTTGAAAATATATATATATATATATATATATTTATTCACACTAACTTTATTTTTGTATGCTATCAATCTGAGGTTTTTCCAGTCAACATTCTATGGTACTTTCAATTAGATGAGGTTATTTTCCTTGCTAAAGAGGGTTATTTTTTTTACATTAGTTTTTTCCTTACTGTAGGTTATTCCCCTTACATTAGATTTTATCCTTACTGTAAAAGTTAATTTCCTTTACAGTAGATTATTTTCCTTACTGTGGAAGATAATTTCCCCCAAAGTTGAAGATTATCTCTTTAACATTTGAATGGTAATTTCGTCGTAAAATATTTCAGTTATCGTAGATGTATTTTTCAACATTTGCTACGAAAGGAATTTTTTGTTTTATAAATTTGCCCAGGATGTTACTCTGCTGTATTTGTTGGTGGTGGGAGTTTGAAGGATTAAGTTGTTACCCTCAAACTTGAACACTTGAGTATGAAGCCATCAAGTTGCTACCCTCAAACTTGAACACTTGAGTATGAAGCATCAAGTTGCTACCCTCAAACTTGAACACCTGAGTATGAAGCATCAAGTTGCTACCCTCAAACTTGAACACTTGAGTATGAAGCCATCAAGTTGCTACCCTCAAACTTGAACACTTGAGTATGAAGCATCAAGTTGCTACCCTCAAACTTGAACACCTGAGTATGAAGCATCAAGTTGCTACCCTCAAACTTGAACACTTGAGTATGAAGCATCAAGTTGCTACCCTCAAACTTGAACACCTGAGTATGAAGCATCAAGTTGCTACCCTCAAACTTGAACACTTGAGTATGAAGCATTAAGTTGTTAACCTCAAACTTGAACACTTGAATTTGAAGCATCAAGTTGTTTCCTTAAGAATATAGGAAAGAGGGAACACTACAGCAGGCCTACTGGCCCATGTGAGGCAGGTCCATGTCACCCCCCGGCTTAGACCAATGACCCACCTAGTCAGGTCACATCCACTTAAACCTGAAAATTTTCTGTTACATCATAAGTGGAATCCTATGACGGTGATGGGCTCTTGATCCAAGAAACTGGACTTATCCCCCCTTCCTTGGATCGAACCAGACTGCCTCCCATTTCCCAGGTGCTGCATGGCCCCTAGCCTTGGAAATGAGTGTAGCACACAGTACTGAGAAGCCGGTGAAGAGACGGGTCTTCCCCTATCTGATGCTGGGGAAGGGTTCTTGGTCCAAGGAAATGGAGTTATCCACCTTTCCCTTTGAGGAGATCTGATTACCTTCCATTCGTCAGGGGGTGAATGACCCCCCCCCCACCCAGGGGTTTAGACCTTCCCCCGTGATTATCATAATCCTCGTCTAGAAGAAATCAGACGGAGGAGAGTTTCATTAGCCAGCAACATCCGGGAAGGTTTGATGTCCACTTGCAAGAAGTAGCAATATTAAGATCGACCTAAAGAAATATAAGAGAAAAATAGTAATAAATTTTGTCTTAAAAGTCGATTAAAATTTCAATATATTCATCTACAGACCATGACAATTGTTCCTATTTTTTAAATATTATATATTTGCTTGAAGACAATAAAAAGATAACCTTCCACTTATACACTTGTAGCAGATTATATTTTTTTCCCTGGAAAACATAAAATATATCAACAATTAAATAATAGAGATATAATAGTCATGGAAGACAACACTTAAAACAAAAAAAAAGGTTTAAAAATAAAGTTATTTATCATGAAATGTTTATTGGATCGAAATAATTGATATATATGAACAACAAGCTAGTACACTTGGCTATGTTCCTCGTCAGGTCGCCTCATACAAGTGTATCTACGCTGTCACTGCTCGATTCCTAAACTCCAACTCAAACAGATAATTTCGCTAATTTTGCTATGTTATTAAGCAACTGTCATCCAAATGTTATAATAACCTTATTATACTCGAAAGACAGTGTAGTAGCTGTTAAATATACTATTTTTTTTAAATACGTTTATTGCTGAAAAGAAATAAACAAATTTATTGGATAAATTTTGATGGTATCTTTGCCAATAAAGAAAGCAAGACATTATGTATAGAATTTAAAAAGGAATTTTTTGTCATTGTGATGTTAGGCACTAACATGGGGTCTAACTCTTTCGGAAGTTGCACTTTGGAAGCTAAATCAGGACGGAATCAGGCTGATCACACTCGTTAATTATATTGTCAAGATGCACCGGGAATCGGGTCAGGCTGGCCTTAGGAGCTAGGTCAGGCAGGTTTTGAGACCCTGGTCAGGAAGGATTTGGTGTAAAGTCAGGTTGGGTTTAGCACCGGTTTGGTAAAGAGAATAATAATACCCGTTTCATTACAAGCACCGCGTCAGCTGTACCTCTGCCATGGACAAGAAGGCAAACACAGATTGTTAACACATTATGAAGCCTCATAAGTTACTGAACGCCCGAAGCTTATTCGGTTGACTTACGGCAACAAGGGTCGCTAAAAATGTTTTTCCTGTAAATTAAATGTAAAAACTTGAGAAGTTGTAAAATGTTGAATTACCAGCAGTACTTCAGAAACAGTTCATTATGTCAGTGCCAAAATATGGCGCTGACGACACTGACCGCAGGAGTAGCTGACAGTGGTGAACTGGGAGAAAAGAAACGAAAGAAATTTTAAGAATGGCACTCGCCTTGGTTAGCTTCGGTAAGATGACTGTAGGCAAGAATATGACTAGCAATATCGACGTATTCAAAGATCATTAGCTTTGGTAATACAAAAATATCCCGTCGATGTGATAGGTTTTTGTCGTCAGGAAGTTTGGTTGCAATAATGCCTTGGTAATCCTACACATGTATGTTTTCTGCTATGTACAGTTACCCATCAAATTTTAGTAAGTAATTTTATTACTGAATATTAGGGTTATTAAATGCGATGAACATAACTACAAAGAATCGTATCTACAATATTTGGTGGGCATATGAGGACTAGTGATTTCCTGGAGAGTGAAAAGGCATGAGATGAAAGAAATATAATGAAGTGAAAATGATTTTGAGGAGCAATGTTCAATGGAAAACAGAACAGTCGTTCTCTGCTGACGGGGACATTGCAGGAGATGATGAACGTCTAACTCTTGTACTTTTACCCCCTGGTGTTGCATCGTCATTCCTAATGTTAAATTTCTCTAAGGCTCTGGCCACAGCGCCATCACATAAGCTTCCCCAGGGTCTGGCCCGACCATTATCAGTGGGTTCAAGGTGTACGGAACTGGACCTGGACCTCCCTCTGTGCTTTGATGATCCTGGAGATCCAGAATGAACAACCATCGATCTGGAGCGACCTTTCCAGTCTGGTGAGAGCTCGGTGTCTGTGCTTGGACTCCGAGAACCATAATCATCCCGATCCATAGAGCCTTCACTGCCTTCACTAATCATACTGCCAATGTCGCTACTGGTTGATATCGACCTTACATAAGTAGGTACAGATCTTATGTTAGATATGCCATCTTCCTCTTCTTCGATGATGGTTAACTCTCCAGAGCCACCAAGACCTCGCTCTGACGCAATTTGTAACGCATTATTTTTTGGCTCATCTTCCTTTTCTGATGCATTCATTATCCTACTGTCAAACTCCGGTTCATTTGACTGTATTAACGGCGCATTTTGCAGTGATTTCAATACTTCCTCTTTAAGTTGTTCTTGTTCTGTGTCTGGCATTGTCCTGCTTGACTCACTGAACGTATTACTCTCAATGCTTCGACCTCTACTGTATGTGCTTGGCTCCTCTAATGAAACATAAGCCTCGTCAATATCTCCAGGATTTTCCTCTTTAACAATATTATCATTAACATCTCCTTTTTCCGATACGAGGAGCATGCTGTCTGTAAAGACTTTAATTTCAGGAAGATCCAAAGTCGTGGGTCTCTTAGGCCTTGCTGGTGATCGTGGACTGTCAAGATTTCCATCGACACTTTCCAGAGAGGAGGCTTGGGAGACATCACTGCCCCCACTGGATAGTTTCTTATTCTTGCGCTTTCCAGTTGGTGTCGTACTGCGTAGTTTATCTTGTGATGCACTCAGATTGTTGTTCTTGCCAAGTCTTAATCTCTCACTAACTGGACTTCTGTCTAGGTCTACGGAACCACGTCTTCTGCTGCTCAGACTGTGTCTTCTCTCCCCCTTTTCCTGCTTCTCCAATTTTTCTTGCTGTCGCTCGTGTCGCTCAGCTATACGCTGCTCTACGTGCGACATTGACCTTCGCCGACCATTAGGAGACGAAGCTCCTTCAGTGTTTTTCTCTTGCGCTGTTTTGTTGTTTGTGCGCAACACTATTTCAGGGTCACTAACCAAACTACCCTTCTGTTTCTCTCTATCTTCGATTTCTCTCTCTTTTTTCTCTTTCCGCCTTCTTTGTGCCTCACGTTTCATGCGCTCTGCCCTGTTCACCTTGGGAATTTTCTGTGTAAGCTGTGCTTCAGGTTGTCTGTGGTTATGACGAGGGCAGCGCTTGTCACAAATGTCACTACCACGACCACCTCGACCTCCACCTCGAAGGCGAGCTTCGTTCACTGTGTCTCCACATCTTCCAGTCTTCGAGGAATCCTCGGCTGTGATGACACTATTCATGTTGGTGTTATGTCTAGTGACAAGATCATTGTAGTCCTCGTCATCCTTGGAAAATCTTGATTCAAAATACCCAAGTTTACGTGAGTAATTCATTTCATCTAATTGGTCAATAGCAGCTAAACTTTTATACATTCTGCAAGAGACGTCTGTCTCCTTATCGCTGGGAGCACACATAGGAATGAAGATATTATTGCAGCTCTGGTATCTTGAGTTCTCTTGATTGAGTTGCGAAAGGGCAGAAAGTACTTCAACCGACTGTGAGAAGGATCGAAGAGCCATAAGCCTCTCACGGGATTTAGAGAAACCAAGTTTAACATCGAAAAGTCTCTCTCGGGATTTAGATATTGTTTTCTTCAAATTAGACATCTGGATCCTCTCTGATAAGACTTCACGGGATTTAGACATGCTCCTGATGCGGTCCAGGTTATGTCTTGATGAAGTTCGAGACTCTTGGCGATTTAAGGCTGATGGAGAAACTGGAGACATGAATGTCATGGGTGAGTTGAGGGTGGAGTTGGGTTCTGGGAACGGAGGTGCTTGTTTGAGTGGAGTGTTGGGGTGTAAGGGTGGAAGACCAATATCTCTAGTAGGTGAGGTGATCTCTGACGGAGCCGTGTTAGAAGTGGGTGTTACTGGTGGTGAAGTGACCGGTGTTGGGATGACCACGGGGGTGACTGGCAGGTTGAGGGTTGTTGGCCGGACTGGTCTGTCCATCTCCTTCTTCATCCATGGGTGACCTAGACATTCCTGAGCACTCATGCGGCGCCTGTGTGGAACAGAACAGAATTGTAACAAATGACGGCAAACTAATATGAATTATTTCCATGACACTCAGGCTACGCTTTACAATATAAATTAATGATCACTTTACTTTAAAACAATCTTTCAATAATGGTAACTGCTAACAGCAATATTATATATGATCTGCATCACACCCTACGCAGGTGTCTAGTCATTTGCCACAAGACAGCTGCTCTGCAACCACTATAAATCAGCTGGCTCTCAGTCCAGATGAATGATAGATCATGTAAAAAGTTTAATAAAAGCAAAATCCTACTAGCTTGAATGAGTGCTTTATACATGGAACTGTTCTGTGCACCAGATGAATTAACCGCAATTAGTTCTGGATTGAGACTATCTTAAAGGCACAAGCGCAATATATATATATATATATATATATATTATATATATATATATATATATATATATAACGGCGAATAAGTAACATTGGTCAATTAGCAAAAACTCAATTAAAATTAAGCCTTTTCTAAAATTTTGTCTTATACGTTTAAAGATATTTATTTTTCATTTATGTTCATGTAAAAATTAATAATTTTGTACCAAAATAACCTTAGAAAACTTACCTAAACTTATTACAACAAACGAAATTTAATTTAGCCTAATCTAACTAAATATATTTTAGATAAGTTTACAATAAATTAATAATAAACAAACACAATGAAATATATTTTTTTTTCGTCAGGTTCAGAATGATTTTTGCAAAATTACTGCATATACAAATTTTAGCTTGCCTTATTCGGCAAGACGAACGTTGCTATTTAAGCCAAAATCACAAGTTTTACCTATTCGCCACGATATATTTATATATATATATATATATATATATATATATATATATATATATTTATATTATTATATATATAATATATATATATTATATACATATATATATATATATATATATATATATATATATATATATACATATTATATATATATATATATATTATATATATATATATATATATTATATATATATATATTATATATATATATTATATTATATATATATAATTTCATAAGAAAAATGGACAGCAGCTATATAGAATTTGCAGATCTGCAAGTGTGCCAGGGAAGTGTCACATAAAATTGCCAAAATTTATTAAAAATTGCTCGATAGTATAAAATCAAGATGCAAATCAGGCTGAATGACATAAGGGCATCTGCAAGAACAGTTAGTTTGCCGTGGCTGGGTCGAGGAAGCCAGTGGCAGGTATCAGCACCCACTCTGGCTGCCTCACTAGCAGGCGCTGGATGAAGTCGATGGCCTCAGGAGAAATGTCCTCAAACAGCTCCTCGGGAAAGTCGAGCTCCCCCCGCGAGATCTGCAGGAAGGTCTCCTGGTCGGTGTTGCCTCCAAATGGCAAGAACCCAGTTAAGAGGACGTAGGTCAGCACGCCCAATGACCTACGGGTACAAACATAACTAAGTCTCGTGCAGAAAACGTATTACCGGAAGCATTACATATTCCGATGCTGAGAGAAAAAAAACAGAATCCCTTTCTCACGCCGAAAATCTGTTACCGAAGGTATTATATACTTTTGAGATGAGAAAAAATAAGAATCTTTTACTACACTGTGACTTGAAGTTTAAGGTGAAAATTGTAGGCGTAAAGAAAGATTCAATGATCACACCCGCATATCGCCACTGATTAAATGAAAAAAAAAACCTGTTGAATGACAATGCATGTCCTGATAGTCACCTTGGGAGAACAAGGTTAATTCATCATTTCTTAAAATGTAACAACACACACACACACATACACATACACACGCGCGCGCGTACGCACACAGGAGGAAAACAACAGTCAAGGACCAGGTAATAAGGCTGAGGAAGGAAGGACCGTGAAATATGTGAAGAGCTCAACATGAGATTCAAAAAAGTGTTCACAGAGGAGACAAAAGGGACTCCAGAAAGACGGAAAGGTGGGGTACACCATCAAGTGTTGGACACAGTACATACAACTGAGGAAGAAGTGATGAAGAGGCTACTAAACGAGCTAGACACCTCAAAGGCGATAGGACCGGATAACATCTCTACATGGGTCCTGAGAGAAGGAGCAGAAGCGCTTTATGTGCCACTAACAACGATCTTCAACACATCTATCTACAGGGCGACTGCCTGAGGTATGGAAGACAGCAAATGTATTCCGTAGTCCCAATTTTTAAAAAAGGAGACAGACACGAAGCATTAAACTACAGGCCAGTGTCACTGACATGTATAATACGCAAAGTCATGGAGAAGATTATCAGAAGAGTGGTGGGGCACCTACAATGGAATGAGCTTATCAACGACAACCAGTGTCACAAACCTACTGGAGTTCTATGACAGGGTGACAGCAATGAGACAAGAGAGAGAGGGGTCGGTAGACTGCGTTTTCTTGGACTATAAGAAGGCTTTTGACACAGTTCCACACAAGAGATTAGTGCATAAGCTGGAGGACCAGGGAGGTTTGACAGGGAAGGCGCTGCAATGGATTAGGGAATATCTGTCAGGAAGACATCAGCGAGTCATGGTACGTGACGAGCTGAGTGGGCGCCTGTAACGAACTGGGTTCCACAGGGGTCAGTCCTAGGACCGGTGTTGTTTCTGGTATATGTGAACGACATGACGGAAGGAACAGACTCATTAGTGTCCCTGTTTGCAGATGACGTGAAGTCGATGAGAAGAATTCAACAAGAGGACCAGGCAGAACTACAAAGGGATCTGGACAGGCTGCAGGCCTGCTCCAGAAACTGGCTCCTGGAGTTAAACCCCACCAAGTGCAAAGTCATGAAGATTGGGAAAGGGCAAAGAAGACCCCAGACGGAGTACACTTTAGGGGTCAGAGACTACAAACCTCACTCAAGGAAAAGGATATTGGCTTGAGTATAACACCGGGCACATCTCCTGAGGCGCACATTAACCAAATAACTGCTGCATCATATGGGCGCCTAGCAAACCTAAGAATAGCATTCCGACATTTCAATAAGGAATCTTTCAGGACCCTGTACACCGTGTATGTCAGGCCTATATTGGAGTATGCAGCACCAGTTTGGAACCCACACCTAGCCAAACACATAAGGAAATTAGAGAAAGTGCAAAAGTTTGCAACAAGACTAGTCCCAGAGCTAAGGGGCATGTCCTACGAGGAGAGCTTAAGGGAAATCGACCTGAGGACACTGGAGGACAGAAGAGATAGGGAGGATATGACAACGACATATAAAATACTGAGAGGAATTGACAAGGTGGACAGAGACAGAATGTTCCGGAGATGGGGCACAGCAACAAGGGGTCACAATTGGAAGCTGAAGACTCGGATGAATCACAGGGAAGTTAGGAAGTATTTCTGCAGTCACAGAGTTGTCAGGAAGTGGAAGTCTGGGAAGTGATGTAGTGGAGGCAGGATCCATGCATAGCTTTAAGAAGAGGTATGATAAAGCTCATGGAGCAGGAAGAGTGACCTAGTAGCGACCAGTGACGAGGCGGGGCCAGGAGCTGTGAATCGACCCCTGCAGCTACAACCAGGTGAGTACACACACACAAAGAACAAGAAATGACTCAGTTGTAGAGTACTTGAGGGCATCCAGGATGGTACTCACCACATGTCTGTCTTCTTAGTGATGGGTTCGTACAGCAGAATTTCTGGGGCTGTGGGATGCAAGCAGGTGTTAACACCTCGTAAACACACACTCATAACATCTCTCTTAGATAAACAATGTCCATCTATATATCATTAATATATTTCACATTAACACTATTAAACAAATTCAAAGAAGTATTATTCAAAATGTTTTGATCTTCACTGTAAACTAAATATATATTATGACACAGACTCAAACTTATTATTATTACACGAGTTATATATATTGTTAAACAAATTCTCGTCTATATTTTGTCTAACAAGTTCACATAGATTTTATATGCATATTATCTCTTTCTGTAGAAGTAGGATTTTAATGTCAGGTATATGGATGTTTTAATAATATCGTATTAATAACTACTGGATAAATGCCAAATATCTTTTAATAATTATTTAAAAGTAACTAATGGTTATCACACATCAAGGGAAATGATGAGGGTTTATTTACAAATGTTTTAATAAAAATGCTTAAAAGACAGGAAAATATCGGTAAATTTTACACAGTCTGGATGTGGCGCCACCTATGCGCAGGTTCACCAAAAATGCACACAATACGTTTTGAATGAGACTTTTCATCGTAGGCCACTGGCAGCGTCCCTTATGGACACATGTAAATGAGTCTTATAGCGTGCCATTGCCAGAATTTCTTACATAAAGGTGAAACCAGCTATAATATATTGTCCTAACTCAAGTTTGATTACACTTCCTGGAAGAGAGGGGTTTAAAAGGACATGTATAACATGATATTCCTGTCCTCCCCAACAATTATGTACTAGCACGTAAAAATATCAGGATTTGAACCACATTTGCTAATAACTCTACTCATGCCAGAAGTTTTAAAGTGTGAAGGTCTGTGTCACAAGACCAAGATATCCATAAAAAGGTTCAACTGTTGGCTGCATGACCCGTCGTATGGCTACATCAACCACGGAAACTCTGGTCGAGAGAGGCATATAGAATAATTCATCTCTATTACTGATATAGCAGCATGGATTCGTTTCCTGGTACCATTAGTATTCATTGTCTTAATAAATATTGCCTATGATAATTTCCCATGCTAGTGGTTGGTATTCAGGGATTTCAAATTAAAAGAAAATCTGTTAGAAAATTTTAACTGTCCAGAAATAATGTCGAATCTAGTCTTAATATAACCACTGCTCCACCAGCTGGTGTTGATAGAATTCTTAATGTAACCACTGGCTCCACCAGCTGGTGTTGATAGTAATTCTTAATGTAACCACTGGCTCCACAGCTGGTGTTGATAGTAATTCTTATGTAACCACTGGCTCCACCAGCTGGTGTTGATAGTAATTCTTAATGTAACCATGGCTCCACCAGCTGGTGTTGATAGTAATTCTAATATAACCACCGGCTCCACCAGCTGGTGTTAATAGTAATTCTTATATAACACTGCTCCCCCAGCTGGTGTTGATATAAATCTTAATGTAACCATTTGGCTCACCAGCTGGTGTTGATAGTAATTCTAATATAACACTGTTCCACCAGCTGGTGTGATAGTAATTCTTAATATAAACCACTGGCTCCACCGCTGGTGTTGATATAAATTCTTAATATAACCACTGGCTCCACCAGCTGGTGTTGATAGAATTCTTAATGTAACCACTGGCTCCACCAGCTGGTGTTGATAGTAATTCTTAATGTAACCACTGGCCCCACCAGCGGGTGTTGATAGTAATTCTTAATGTAACCACTGGCTCCACCAGCTGGTGTTGATAGTAATTCTTAATATAACCACTGGTCCACCAGCTGGTGTTGATAGTAATTCTTAATAAAACCACTGGCTCCACCAGCTGGTGTTGATAGTAATTCTTAATATAACCACTGGCTCCACCAGCTGGTGTTGATAGTAATTCTTAATAAAACCACTGGCTCCACCAGCTGGTGTTGATAGTAATTCTTAATGTAACCACTGGCTCCACCAGCTGGTGTTGATAGTAATTCTTAATGTAACCACTGGCTCCACCAGCTGGTGTTGATAGTAATTCTTAATATAACCACTGGCTCCACCAGCTGGTGTTGATAGTAATTCTTAATAAAACCACTGGCTCCACCAGCTGGTGTTGATAGTAATTCTTAATATAACCACTGGCTCCACCAGCTGGTGTTGATAGTAATTCTTAATATAACCACTGGCTCCACCAGCTGGTGTTGATAGTAATTCTTAATATAACCACTGGCTCCACCAACTGGTGTTGATAGTAATTCTTAAGATAACCACTGGCTACACCAACTGGTGTTGATAGTAATTCTTAATGTAACCATTGGCTCCACCAGCTGGTGTTGATAGTAATTCTTAATGTAACCACTGGCTCCACCAGCTGGTGTTGATAATAATTCTTAATGTAACCACTGGCTCCACCAGCTGGTGTTGATAGTAATTCTTAATGTAACCATTGGCTCCACCAGCTGGTGTTGATAGTAATTCTTAATGTAACCACTGGCTCCACCAGCTGGTGTTGATTTTTTTTTTTTTTTTTTTTATTATCACACTGGCCGATTCCCACCAAGGCAGGGTGGCCCGAAAAAGAAAAACTTTCACCATCATTCACTCCATCACTGTCTTGCCAGAAGGGTGCTTTACACTACAGTTTTTAAACTGCAACATTAACACCCCTCCTTCAGAGTGCAGGCACTGTACTTCCCATCTCCAGGACTCAAGTCCGGCCTGCCGGTTTCCCTGAATCCCTTCATAAATGTTACTTTGCTCACACTCCAACAGCACGTCAAGTATTAAAAACCATTTGTCTCCATTCACTCCTATCAAACACGCTCACGCATGCCTGTTGATAGTAATTCTTAATGTAACCATTGGCTCCACCAGCTGGTGTTGATAGTAATTCTTAATATAACCACTGGCTCCACCAACTGGTGTTGATAGTAATTCTTAAGATAACCACTGGCTACACCAACTGGTGTTGATAGTAATTCTTAATGTAACCATTGGCTCCACCAGCTGGTGTTGATAGTAATTCTTAATGTAACCACTGGCTCCACCAGCTGGTGTTGATAATAATTCTTAATGTAACCACTGGCTCCACCAGCTGGTGTTGATAGTAATTCTTAATGTAACCATTGGCTCCACCAGCTGGTGTTGATAGTAATTCTTAATGTAACCATGGCTCCACCAGCTGGTGTTGATAGTAATTCTTAATGTAACCATTGGCTCCACCAGCTGGTGTTGATAGTAATTCTTAATGTAACCACTGGCTCCACCAGCTGGTGTTGATAGTAATTCTTAATGTAACCATTGGCTCCACCAGCTGGTGTTGATAGTAATTCTTAATGTAACCATTGGCTCCACCAGCTGGTGTTGATAGTAATTCTTAATGTAACCACTGGCTCCACCAGCTGGTGTTGATAGTAATTCTTAATGTAACCACTGGCTCCACCAGCTGGTGTTGATAGTAATTCTTAATGTAACCATTGGCTCCACCAGCTGGTGTTGATAGTAATTCTTAATGTAACCATTGGCTCCACCAGCTGGTGTGATAGTAATTCTTAATGTAACCACTGGCTCCACCAGCTGGTGTTGATAGTAATTCTTAATGTAACCACTGGCTCCACCAGCTGGTGTTGATAGTAATTCTTAATGTAACCACTGGCTCCACCAGCTGGTGTTGATAGTAATTCTTAATGTAACCACTGGCTCCACCAGCTGGTGTTGATAGTAATTTTCTTCTCTTGCTTTTTCACTACTTTTAATGCTAGTATTACTGCTACAGATACTGCTGCTGCTTCTGTTACAATAACGTACACTGCTTCCATGGCAATTACTGCTACTGCTTTTGTTAAAATTGCTTCTATTGTTGCTATTAAAATCACTCTTGCTGCTTCTAGTATAAGTACTTCAATAGTTTCAATTAAAATCACTGTTGCTGCTTCTGTTAACAGTAATTCCGTTGCTTGTACTAAATTCACTATTGCTTCTGTTGCGATTACTTCTTTCACTTCTGCTGCTCGAATTATTTAAACTTCAAAAACTGTTATTACTACCTTTATTGCTACTTTTAATGCTGTTACTATGAATACTAGCAATTACGGTATGCTGCTATTACTGAGTGTCCGTGGTTCAATTCCTTTCATTGGTGGAAACTTTGGGCATATTTCCTTATACCTGCTGTCCCTGTTCACTTAGCATTTAAGTAGGTACCTGGGTGTTAGTTGACTGTTGTGGGTCGCATCCTGGGGGACAAGACTGAAAGGACCCGAATGGTAATAAGAGACAGTCCTCGATGACGTACTGACTTTCTTGGGTTATCCTGGTTGGCTAACCCTCCGGGCTAAAAAAATCCAAACATATCTCATCTTGTCTTGCTATTATTACTACTACTACTACTAATGCTGCTGCTGCTGTTGCTGTTAAATTGGGTCAATTAGCCCCATGCGCCCATTTTTACGTACTCTGACGTGCTAGGTAGAACATTATAAAAACATTTTATATACTATATTAGATGAAATAGTACATTGAAAACATGATAAGACAGATAACTGCTTATAGACTATACAATGTATGCGATATTCTATACAAAATACCAGGGAAGCTGTGCAGACTATAAACTATACGTAGTATATAAATCCCAAAATAGCACAATTCAACTATTTAATCAATACAAACTTAGCTAAACAAACTATGTAAACTATAAACAGTATAGTACAGTACAGTATAGTACACAAACTCTACGCTATATCATGTAGCCTATACACATTAAGTTGTACAGTATACAAACTACACTATACAAACTATGTAAACTTTACACATTAAACTAAGTAATACATATTATACATAGTATAAATAATAGAGTAAATACTGACCAACATAGTCCGGGGTGCCCAGGATCTCCCTCACTTCTCGTCCTGGCGTCAACACTCGCGAGATCTCGAAGTCACAGAGCTTGACGGCGCAGTCTGGGAATTCCCCCATCAACACCAGGTTTTGTGGCTGTTGGAGAAGATGGAACAGTGTTGGTGATCTAGTCAAAAGCAACAGGTTCTGAAGCTGTTGGAGAAGATGTAACAGTGTTGGTGAAATATTGTTGGTGACCTAGCCACCAGCACCAGGTAGGATATTTTAGCTTAAGCGTAAAAGTTTTTGTGTTGTCTTTTCTCGCGCTAGTAGTAATTACTTTTGCTAGATAATTTTACTTTTGTGTTCTTGGGTACGTATTGCTTAGAGCGTTGAGGCATCTTATAAGTCTAGGCGCTTTTCTAATCTTTCAACTTCACTTACAGTACTTACAAATGTACACATATGAACATTTCGTTGTGTATGCAGGTGTGTATGTCTCCATGTACAAATATGCGTGTTTTTTGAATATATACGCATATGTATAGTTCCGAAATATTAGACACCAACGAAATCAAACCACCCATAACTAAGGATCTAAAAATTTGTGGTCGAAAAAAACAATAACATATTAGGTATGCTAAAATAGCGCACGAGCCATGAAAAAACTAGCTCTCTTCACTGGCGGCAAAGTCGTAGCCTATATTAAGCTAGCCCAGATGAGCCCTCTACTCTTCCTTGAGTCGTTTCTCCTTTTGTCTGTCTCTTTCCCTTTGGGAAAAAAATATGTCCTCTTTGAGGACAATCCCTTCCATGGGTATCACTCTAACTAAAAACACAACATATGGCGACAAATGACACAAAGCCGAAATGTGAAAAAAAAGACAATTGCAGAGAGAAACTATTGAAACGTTTCGTCTATGGGTCAGGTTTCTTCAGTAAGATGAAACGTCTGAATAAGACTCCTTTCTGCAACTGTCTTTTTTTTATGCAACCCAACATACTCAGGTATCCCAGAGGACTTCAACCCAACATACTCAGGTATCCCCGAGGACTTCAACCCAACATACTTAGGTATCCCAGGGACTTTTATGTGGTTACCTGAATTTTTTTATTCCTCGAAAATTTATTTTTTTCTTTTGCTCATAGCACAAAGTCTCACTCTACCGGCTTCAAATTTTCAACGAGGGAAGGATTCTTGGACCAACTGGCATATGCAGATGCCCTACAATCATGGCGGTGCAGACCCTGGCTTTAACCCATCTGTCTCAGGACACAGCCTCGCCTGGTGGCCAGGGCTCTCAGCAGCTTTGCAACGCCTCAACACAATGAGGTACTAGAGAAGGCTCAGAAAATCAAGTTCGATTGGCGTGATGCACTTAATCTTGAAAGCCAGTTGACAGACGATGAGATAATGATCAGAGATGCTTGCCGCGATTATTGTCAAGAAAAACTGATGCCACGCATTACATATGCAAACAGACATGAAAAGTTTGACCCTGAGATTATGTCAGAAATGGGCGAGATGGGCATGTTGGGATCAACCATACCCGGCTATGGATGCCCTGGGGTCTCCTCTGTTGCATATGGTCTCATTGCTCGAGAAGTGGAGAGGGTAGATTCTTCTTACTGCAATGTCTGTCCAGTCATCACTTGTCATGTACCCCATCTGGGAATTTGGCACAGAAGAACATAGATTGAAATACCTTCCTAAACTTGCAAAGGGAGAATTGACAGGTTGCTTTGGGATAACCGAGCCAAATCATGGAAGTGATCCAGCCAACATGGAGACTCGTGCAAAATACGTTCCATCTGACAAAGTATATGTTCTTAATGGTTCAAAGACGTGGATCACGGACTCATCCACTCCAGATGTTTTTGTGGTGTGGGCCAAGTGTGAGGATGGTGACATACATGGCTTTATCCTGGAAAAGGGCATGCCTGGTCTTGATTGCCCAAAGATTGAGGGAAAGTTTTCTCTTCGTGCATCACCTACTGGCATGATCCTAATGGATGATGTTGTTGTACCAGAGAAAAACATGCTGCCAGGGGTGAAGGGGTTAAAGGGGCCTTTCAGCTGTTTGAACAATGCACGATATGGTATTGCATGGGGTGCCTTAGGAGCCGCAGATTATTATTATAATCAAGGGGGAAGCGCTAAACCCGGAGGATTATACAGCGCCTGGGGGGGGATGTGGAAGGCATTCAGGCTTAATTCGGGGAACTGGAGCACAGATCCAATTCCCTAAATCAAGAGCCCCTCACCAACATCAAGGAACCTTCCTTGAGGGGTAGGAGCCGCAGAATTCTGCTTGGATGCTGCACGTAGTTATACACTAGACAGAAAGGAGTTTGGACGTCCTCTGGCAAACAACCAACTTATACAGAAGATGGCTGATGCACTGACTGAAATTTCTCTAGGCCTTCAAGGCTGCCTACATGTTGGCCGTCTGAAGGACAAAGGCAAGGTCACCTCTGAGATGATAAGTCTTCTGAAGCGAAATTCTTGTGGAAAGGCTCTTGACATTGCAAGACACGCACGAGACATGCTTGGTGGGAATGGAATTTGTGATGAGTATCACATTATTCGACATGTTATGAATCTGGAAGCTGTCAACACCTATGAGGGTACGCATGATATCCATGCACTCATCTTGGGCCGTGCCATTACTGGACTGCAAGCATTCAGTGCTAAATAAGTTTGAAGTGACCCTTAACTTTCTTCTCAATTGTCTGAAGTGTTAGTATAACACTGTACTCTATTTTTTAAAGAAAAGTAAATCAGTAGATTGGTATTGTGATGCCATTTAGACGGCACACAATTATTAAGAAGTTTTGATGTCTATCATTTGTTTTGTGGATGTTTCCTGCAACATAAATGAAGGGAAGGTGTTTCATTCCTATTTTCACATTATTTGTGAATATGTGTAGTAAAGTGCATCAGATTTTGTGAAAAATTATGCTCTAGAATGCTGAAGGGTTTTTGGTTAAATATTTTGCTTATATACTGATTGTATATGGTAGCATGTAAATAATAGTAATAGAAAAAACTCTTGCATGATAATGTTGTATTGTTGCTACATACTTTTTTTAAATGCCAGGCAGACTTGTACAGTTGTAATTGTGGAAGTAATATTGTATATTAATGTTTTCTTCTAAATCATCTTGAATAGATAGCCATATTTGTATTTTTATAATGGGTAGTTATATATCATTACAATCAAAACTAAGCACTAAACCCACAAGGGTCATACACCAGGTGGTTATATAATTATTTCTATTTTTTTAACATGCTGGCCATCTCCCACCGAGGCAGGGAGACCCAAACAAGTTATTCAGATATCAAACTAAACAGCAAATATCCCAAACCTCTCCTTTAAAGTGCAGGCATTGTACTTCCCACCTCCAGGACTCTAAATTTGCCTTACTGGTTTCCCTGAATCCCTTCACAAAATACTACCCTGCTCACACTCCAACAGCTCATCAAGTCCCAAATACCGGTACCTGACCAGCCGGGCTGTAGCTCGTACGTTGGATTGCGTGCAGCCAGCAGTAACAGCCTGGTTGATCAGGCTCTGATCCACCAGGAGGCCTGGTCACAGACCGGGCAGCGGGGGCGTTGACCTCCGGAACTCTCTCCAGGTAAACCTCTAAAACCCACTGCTGCTAGGCTTCATATAGTTAAAAAAAAAAGAGGTATCTGGTATTTAGATGAGGGCAGAGAGTGAAGTGTGAAAGTTTTATCCCGTTGTATTACGTCAACTATATCTGACTGATTCTTGTGAATAACTTCATTATTTCATGGCTGATGCGTCTTACGGTCACGATAATACCCGCTAAGTTTAGTTTGTGTGCGGATAAATTAGTCAACATACTACATTGCTTAATAACCTTGGAATTATTGGAATCCTTAAAACAACTAGATAATGTCTTTTTTGATCGGTTTCAAACTTTTCGCCATGCTGTATTTTCCACAAAGCAACGTTTGCGTTGCTACTAGACTGCTTAAGTCCCAGTTTTCCAATCTTTATTTATAAAATATCGGCGTCAAAATATTTTCGCTGAGGGATTTCATAACACTCTAAGTTTAGACTGACTCGGTGCAAATTTCAAAAGTTATTGAAATAAGTGTAAAACTCTGAGGCAGCAGAAGTAGCTGAGAGGCAAAGAGGATGTGATCCATCCACCTACCTTGAAGAAGTACTTTTGAGGTGGCCAGTTTCTCAGACTGGAGAACGCAATTTCTAAAACGCTTCACACTCTAAAGAATAAAAAGGCATAATACCGTAAGTGGAACAATACAGAACACTTGGTTTTCGCTTTGAGCTACGTAAATTTTAAATTGCCAATTTTATTAATTAATTTTTTTATAATCGGATAATTTAATTACCTGATCACTGGGATCAGTGATCGGATAATCTATATTATCCGACCACTGATACTTGGAATACCAAGGTTCTTCCTTATGACTCACGAAATCGTAATGACACGATTGCAAACAAACCATACCACGGGTAGGGATAGACTATGATCGCGGGTTCTTTCCCAGCCAGTGGTATGGTTTCTTCCTCATATTATGAACCTTGATAATTTTAAGACTTCTGAGTCTAATTGTTTTGATTTGGTTCCAAGGGCCGAAGGGAATTTTCCTTGCTAATATTAACACTGGCGCAGCATAATTAATTAAGGATCTAATATAGGCTATAGACATAATTCTCACTATTCTTTCACCAGCGCAACAGCCAGCAATAGTTCTGAGAGCAGTTAACCTGTCTCTGCATTTCTCATTTAATAGTGGTATGGTTGATTTAATGTAGGGGTTCGTCTACACCAGGGGTCCCCAGAGGTTCGTCTACACCAGGGGTCCCCAAATTCTTCAGCTCATCGACCCTTTCATGTACCGACCCCCTTCTAATCCAAGCCATTTATAGACCCCTTCGATAGCACCATCGACCCTCAGGAGTCGATATGGACTACTTTGGGGAACCCTGGTCTACACCAAGGTACCCGTAAGATTTAATGCAGCTGGTATTTAATAGGAATATTTTTTTACATAATATGAATTTAGATATATTGCTGATATAAAGATGGTATATATATATATATATATATATATATATATATATATATATATATATATATATATATATATATAT